GATAGCGAACAATATTTATGGCCAACAAATGAGCCAGCACTTTCACACTTATGTGCCAGTGCTCTTTCATCCTAGAAGGTTACCCGGTGCTTTGCATTCGTACCATCTAAGGTCAGAAAACATCTTAGCGGTTGCTAACATCCAAATATATCCACTATCCCATTCCACCATCTTACAAGTTCAATCAACTCCATTTTATAGAAACACGTTTATCATGAGTCCAGTTTGAATGAGGCATGATCGACAGAATCTACACTGGTGTGGGGGGGGGGATCTGTGTGATACAATTCAACGTACATCCAATCATGGTAGCTTTCCCCATGAGATACCCTGTGATTAGTATACACGGGAAGAGGAAAGGACCTATCTCTCGGATGTAAGGCTTCCATAGAGCCATTGGGTTCTTCGGCCAAACAGTCGGCATCTTCTCTGACTTGGGTGTGTTTGAGCTGAAACGGTATGACAAAAGCAAACTCCATTAACCTGGATGGAATGGTATCTGGCAGGTTAGAACATAACATCATAAAAGTGTATGTAATGCCATGCGTGTACATGTACAATGAAGAATATTTCATTTCCATTGGCCCTATTCTCATGTCAGCCATCTTGAATCAAACCTGAGGTGATTCCTTTATAAATTTTCTAAAAATTTAATGTGTGGATGTGAACTTGATGCAACATGGCAAACTATTATCCTTCACTGTGATGCAAAAGGTAATTTAAAAAATCAGGTCACGTGTTCAGTAGATGAAGTGAACTGAGAAGGATGCTTCAAGATGGCAATATGTATCTTGACAATAAAGCCCACTGATTATTCCTGACTGCAAAAAATAAAGGATTTATGATTGGGCCCAAAAAACAAATACTCGGTCTCCGGTCAAGACCAAAGTTCCAGAATTGATGCGGCGATGCGGGTTGTTTTTTTTTGGGGGGGGGATAGGGTTGGCTTTTTAAGCCTGGCAACCGACACGGAAATGAGTGGCATATTTGATCAAAGAGCAAAGGAGTAGCACGTCACATGTCACACGTAGCTGTCACTATAATGGCACATGAGGGTGCTTTGTGTGACCTTTCATGTTCATCCTTTGACCCAAGCACGCACGCACCTTTTACAAACTTCCAGTCATGACAGTTCTTCCAATGATACATTGGTGGCCCCAATTAAACTTCCAATTGTTTCAGTAATAATATCTGCCATCATTTGAGAGACTCGAGAGCACGAAATCACTGCACAGCAACCAGAATTAAGCTTCGCAGTGTGTACGTCACATGGACACTTGTAACACACATGCGCGGGGTTCGTGTGAGCCTGACCTTGCCAGTAACAGGATGTACGCTCCCCTGAGCCACTGTTTCTGACTCGCACTGTCTGCACTGGACTTTCTGTCTAGGGAAAAGTGTCTCAGGAATTCTTCCTGGCCAGAAGTTGGCCGGTAAAAATTCCCACGCGGCTCAGGAAAAGTAACTGAGAGGAAGTCTTCCCGGGACATCCACACTGGACCTTTTTTGGGCAAAGTACCCATCGTCTCGGTAAGTTTGCCCCCAAAAAGTCCAGTGCGAACTGGGCTTATGAGATACTACCAAATTAACTTCAAATTTTAAACTTGGATGTACAGGATAGGCGAAAGTAGCAATGACACTTTTCCTCATTCTGGACTGGTTTCCGGACGGTAGCCATGCGAGCCGCAAAATATATTTTCAGCCAGACCCATTGTGAAAAGCTGATTTTCCAATGAAAAATGTCTTAATTTAGAGATAATTAGTTTATAAATAAGAATTTCAATGAGTTTAAAAAAGCGGATCTTGCGTGTGAACTTTTTCAGCTGCACAGTGCGAACCATCAATGATACTACCTTGCGCTGCAGAGTTGATGAACCCATTACCTGACGTACATTTCCACAACGTCCGTATAGTAAGATGAGTTCGCAACGTATATTGCGTGCATGCACTTAATGCGCGATCCAAAACTAGGAAACAATATGCGTTCTGTTTTAGGCCAGTTATAATAAAACAGACACTTTGAACGTAATTTTGATTAAACAGACATTACATGCAAAAGTTTATATGACTGTTGAGTATGAAAAAAGTATTTGGGATCACTTGTAGTGAGTGACATATCACTATATCACATATAATTTTTTTTCCTGCTAGGCCTAAGTACTATGATTTTTGACAAACTGCTCAAAAATAACAAAGTGTGAATCAGAAATCTGGCCAAAGTTTCTTTTCTAGAAATTTTCCCAGAACAAGTTTTGTTCAACAAGAAGCTTACACGTAGGCCTACATTTCACCTTTAAAACAGAACCTGTCTGAGAATGTAAAACTGAAGAACACAAAGGAGGTAGGTTTTTATTTCAAGCGATACGGAACTAGATTGTGCAACTTACTACGGCCACCATCTTTACAATACCTTAGAAATTTGGCTTGTCTATCTACCATGTCTACAACATGAAATTCTCTTCCATTATTAAGGCAGAGTATTACACACCGTCGTCTCAGCAGACGACTGGGCTGAACAGACAAAGTATCTCAACAGACGACTTGTCTCTCCTTTTTTGCGTAATACGCATGGACGGTCGAGTTGTCTCAATGGTCGAGTTATCTCAGTAGTCGAGTTGTCCGAAGTCGAGTTGGCAAACGGTCAAATTGTCTGAACCCCGTTAAAGGACAATTTAGGCCTAGGCAGCAGCGCGGACATCCGGGAGTTTCACAAAAATAAGGGTAGCATCTAAGCCTAGGCCTACACCACAGCCGGTGAAAACAACTGCAACGAGCGCGCATATATGTACAGATCAAAGAAAAGATTGTATAACCCAATCCTCGGACTGGCTAGTGCGTGCGTACGTCGCCAAGGTCGCTGTTTTCACCAGCGCAGTAGGCCTAGGCCTACCTGTCATTTTGCGAGAATCCTGCATGTCCGCACTGCCCCATATCACAGGCTACGAAGTGGATTATACAGTTAGTGTGGTATTCTGCAATCGTGCCTAAAGTTCCCGGTTAAAATGTTGCATCCTGACTCCACTTTTCTCATCATATATCATCTCAATAAAAGTCAGTCATTACACATTTACAGAAATGCTGAAAAGACACGAATTCTGGACTGAGGAACATGATTTACATGTACCTACAGACATGATGCATGACCGATGTTGCATGTTGTTTGGAAATAATAGGCCTAGGCCTACTTAGAAAATTGTCTTCACTCCCCATAGACTTTGTACACAACTGCTCAAGAGGAGTCAGCATGCAACATTTTTTCCAAGTTCCCCGATTACAAACGTACAAAACAAACAAAAGTGAAACTTACGAGGGCTACGATACAGGCCTATGCTCAGCTGAGCTCAGCAAAGTTCGCTCATGCAATGGATCATCAATCCAAAATGGCGACAGACTCGTCCAATATGGCGCCCTCTATCGGTCTACTTTAATAATTAAAAAAATGATTTTGTAGTCCGGCCGGTGGGGGCGCCAGCTCGGACCCGCATGGAGCTACCAGGCTGCCCCGCTGGTATGCGAACGGCCCGCGGTCTAGAGCTTTTGGGGTAGAACATAGTGTTGCAACGCTAGAGAAATAAAACCAAGGTTTCTTGGGCAGAACGGCGATTTGTGGCTACCTATGTGTGTCTATATTAGCGTCAGAGCCCAATCCGTAGGATACGCTACAATATCAAAGTACAGTACTAAACTTATAATGTCGTAAACATATGCTCAGCATCTAGCCTACGGTGAAACAATTTCTTATATATGATATTATCACCATCTGGTAAATTTTGAAGGGTAATTAAATGATTTGCGCTGGGGATAAGACATTGGGACTTGTGNCAGCATAGGAGGGTTAAGGCAGAGTATTACACACCGTCGTCTCAGCAGACGACTGGGCTGAGCGGACAAAGTATCTCAACGGACGGCCTGTCTCTCCTTTTTTGCGTAATACGCACGGATGGTTGAGTTGTCTCAACGGTCGAGTTATCTCAATGGTTTAGTTGTCCGAAGTCGAGTTGGCAAATGGTCGAATTGTCCAAACCCCGTTAAAAGACAATTTCGGCCTAGGCCTATGGGGCAGCGCAGACATCCGGGAGTTCCACAAAAATACGGGTAGCAACTAAGCCTAGGCCTACACCGCTGCCGGTGAAAACAACTGCAACGAGCGCGCACGTATGTACAGATCAAAGAAAAGATTGTATAACCCAATGCTCGGACTGGCAGGTGCGTGCGTACGTCGCCAAGGTCGTTGTTTTCACCGGCGCAGTAGGCCTAGGCCTACCTGTCATTTTGCGAGAATCCTGGATGTCCGCGCTGCCACATATCACAGGCTACGAAGTGGATTATACAGTTAGTGGGGTATTCTGCAAAGGTGCCTCAAGTTCCCGGTTAAAATGTTGCATCCTGACTCCACCTTTTTCATCATATATCATCTCAATAAAGGTCATTACACATTTACAGAAATGCTGAAAAGACACGAATTCCGGACTGAGGAACATTTACATGTACCCCCAGGCTACAGACATGACCGATGTTGTTGGGAAATAGGCCTACTTAGAAAATTCTCTTCACTCCCTATAGACTTTGTACACAACTGCTGAAGAGGAGTCAGCATGCAACATTTATTCCAAGTTCCCCGATTACAAACGTACAAAATAAACAAAAGTGAAACTTACGAGGGCTACGATACAGGCTTATGCTCAGCTGAGCTCAGCAAAGTTCGCTCATGCAATGGGTCAATCCAAAATGGCGACGGACTCGTTTAATATGGCGGCCTCTATCGGTCTACTTTAATAATTAAAAAAATGATATTGTGGTCCGGCCGGTGGGGGCGCCAGCTCGAACCCGCATCGAGCTAGCTGGCTGCCAGCGTATGCGAACGGCCCGCGGTTTTCCCGCCTCGCGCCTGCGCAGTCCCATGTCTAGAGTTTTTGGGATAGAACACAGTGTTGCAACGCTAGAGAAATAAAACCAAGGTTTCTTGGGCAGAACGGCGATTTGTGGCTACCTATATCTCTGTGTGTCTATTTTAGCGTCAGAGCCCAATCCGTAGGATACGCTACAATATCAAAGTACAGTACTAAACTTAATGTCGTAAACATACGCTCAACATCTACGGTGAAACAATTTCTTATATATGATATTATCACCATCTGGTAAATTTTAAAGGGTAATTAAATGATTTGCGCTGGGGATAAGACATTGGGACTTGTGC